TTGCCCACTGCCAACAGTTCAATCCTGACCGACTGGCTCAAGGTTGAATCAGACTTCCCTCCTTCCGAGGTGGATAAAATAAGGACTTCTACCATCATATTTCCTTCCTTCCTTCCTTCCTTCCTTCCTTCCTTCCTTCCTTCCTTCCTTCCTTCCTTCCTTCCTTCCCTTCCCTTCCCTTCCCTTCCCTTCCCTTCCCTTCCCTTTCCTTCTTTCCTTTCCTTTCCTTTCCTTTCCTCCTTCTGCTGCCTGCTGGCTGCCTGCAACGTGACTGACAGTCAGGTGCTGGACAACTGCTTCACATTTCACACAGCTGAAATCACCCATTTGGGGTCCTCACCTAGGGTGGCACAGTGGTCAGAGAGCAGGATTGCAGGCTACTTCTGCTGCCTGCCGGCTGCCTGCAATTTAGCAGTTCGAATCTCACCAGGCTTAAGGTGGACTAAGCTTTCCATCCTTCCAGGGTGGGTCAAATGAGGACCCAGATTGTTGGGGCCAGAGGCTGACTCTGTAAACCGCTTAGAGAGGGGCTGGAAAAGCACCGTGAAGCGGGATAGAAGTCTAAGGGCTCTGGCTAGTGCTATTTTGACCAGAAAGAAAACCAGGGTTAGAAAAGTCCCCGACTAAAGAGAGATCCAGCCACTCACCTGCCCGTCCTGCTGAAGATGATGGTGCAGCACCTGGGAATGTGGCTGTTGGTGCGCAGGCAAGATATGAAGGAAGGGCGCCGGAGCGTAGCCAGCAGCAGCCCCGGGGTTCAGAGGCCCCGTGGAGCTGAGGGCCGAGGGCAGGTTGAACGGGGGAGGGGTCCCGGCATGGAATCCCTGCTTGTCGAAAGTCTGGAAAAAGGAGAGATGGGAATGAAAACGGAGACAGGCACCCTTTAAAAGGAGGGTAGAGAAGCATCATCTGTCGCAGAGCCGTTGGAGGGCCAGAAGGTGGCTGAAGAGCAGGATGTCAGGGCTCCGGCAGTTACCCCCAAATTAAATCACGAGTCTCGAGCCAAACTTCCAAAACTTCAAAAGGATTTATTGGGAGTTAACATGCCGGCACTGCCTGGGTGCAGCCGGCTCTGAGAAACATCATTCATTGTCACCCTTGACCCTGGTTTTCCCCCACCCTCTGGGTGTATCGTAATTCATATTCTCCAATGGGACGCATCCTTAGCCCGGAGTCATCAATCAGGCTCTCCAGTTAGATATTTGCGGAGCAGAAACTTCAGTTTCCTAGTTACTACCTTTGAAAAACTATTTATGGAATGCGCTTTCAATTTCCAAGCTGCCGCATTGCTTTTTCAAATCCCTTTCCCGCCCCCTCCCTTTCTATTGGCAACTCTAAGAAGACCATAGAAATATATTTATGAGTTGGCACGTTTTACATTGGCTTTCTTGACAGCTGGACAGGACCACTAAGCCTTCACTTATTTATAATTTTTCTCCCAAATCCATGCTGCTGTCAGGGTTCCGGCAGTTGCTCCCATTTAAATCAAGAGTCTCGAGCCAAACTTCAAAAGGATTTATTGGGAGTTAACATGCCGGCACTGCCTGGGTGTACCCGACTCTGAGACACATCATGCATTGTCACCCTCGACCCTGGTTTTTTCTCACCCCCTTGGGTGTATCGTAGTTCATATTCTCCAATGGGACACGTCCATAGCCCAGAGTCATCAATCAGGCTCTCCAGTGAGATATTTGCGTGGCAGAAACTTCAGTCACCTGGTTACTATCTTTGAAAACATTTGTGGAATGCAGCTGCCTTCCCTGCTCGATCCGAGGGCACGGAGAGCAGAGCAGAAGCAAGCTCGAAGGGAGGTCCGCAAGGCTACTGGCGAGGAGGCCGCCTCTCCTCGCAAGGACCACCCGACTTATGGAGAAGCCAGGGAGGAGTTCGTCTTGGTCGGGAACCGTTGTTTGCTTTGGCCGACGCTCCCCCCGGCTTTGACTCACGCTATTTGCCTGTGGCCTTTGTCCCTGGACTCTGGGCCTTTCCCCCTTGAGCTTGCATTTGCTTTGGACTCGGCCTTTGCAAAATTGGTCCGTTGCTTATTAGCTTTGGTTTGTGGGGCTGTGGGAAGCTGCCTTCAGGGAAGGGCGGGGCGTTGTGGGGATGTTTATTAGGAAACAACCAAGTTTGACTGAAGGCAGGACAAGAAGCAACGGATGGAAATTAATCAAGGAGAGAAGCAACCTGGAATTGGGGAGAAATTTCTGGGCAGCAAGGACAATTAATCAATGGAAGAGCTTCGCTCTAGAGGTTGTGGCTGCTCCATCACCGGAAGTTGTTAAGAAGAGACTGGACAACCAGTTGTCTGAAATGGGGTAGGGTTTCCTGCCCGAGCAGACTAGAAGACCTCCAAGTCCCTTCCAACTCTGTCTATTCTCCTCTCCTCTCCTCTCCTCTCCAAAGCCCCTGAAGGCAGGACAAGGAACAATGGATGAAAACTGATCAAGGACAGAAGCAACCTGGAATTAAGGAGAAACTTCCTAACAGTGAGAAGAATTAACCTGTGGAACAGCTTGGCACCAGAAGTTGTGGATGCTCCATCACTGAAGGTTTTTAAGGAGAGACTGGACAGCCACTTGTGTCAAATTGTTTAGGGTCTCCTCCTGAGCAGGGGGTTGGACTAGAAGTCCTCCAAAGTCCCCTTCCAGCTGTGTTCTTCTAAATGTAACAGAGCAATAAAGGATTCTACTGAGGCCGGCCTCTACGTAAGTTACCTGGGTCGTAACATTTGCAGGGCAGGGCAGGACGCATCACTACCTGGTTCTTGGCTTAGGAACTCTTTAAGAGAGTGAGATGGGATGTTAAAATGCCACCAGGACAATGTGGGGTCCAAAATATGAAGATGGTGATGACAACAATGCCAGTAAAATGCAGGTGGAGCTTCAGTGATGCTGCTCTGTAGCTGCCATCGTGATGTTTTGGGCCACGCTCTCCTTGGGAGCATCCCTGGTGAGGAAGCTGAACACTAAATCAGTCTGGACACAAAGGTGCTGAACTCACCTGAGCTTTGTTGTAGACAGAGCCACTGATGTCAGGCATACCTGTGTTACTTGAGCTCACAGAAACACCTTGGGGAGAAAGAGAGAGAGAGAGAGAGAGAGTTGTGTTAGCCATGCAAGCAGCCAGGGGGTGAGAGCATTTCCTATGACTGGACCTCCACAACTTCAAAAGGCGATGGGCAACCATGTCCTTTGGACCTTAAGTGCTCAGACACCTTCCACGTGCAGCTTCCTTTCGAGTGGAAGAGCCACATGGGTCACAGAGTGAAGCAGAGTTGATGCTCCCTTCATGCCTTAAGAAAACAAATTCCATTTTTCTTTCGGAGGAGAACAAACTGGAATTTTAAATGTATTACTCCTGCAATTGTTACCCTGCTTTTTCCTATCCGCAGAGCACTAAAATCTATAGATAGATGATAGATAGATAGATAGATAGATAGATAGATAGATAGATAGATAGATAGATAGATTTATTGTCATTGTACTCAGAAACCTGAGAACAATGAAATAAGGTGCTCTTCCACAACATACAACTGAACAACACCAAAAGACATATACAAATAACAATGTAAAACAAATTAAAACAATAACAGTTAAAAACTGTACAACCAGGATATATATATATGTTAAGACCACCAGATTCATAACTCTGCATTTAAC